CAGGTAACAGAGCTGCTTCAGGGCCAACAGACAGCAGGCCTGTTACCAGAGGCACCAACAGGCATGGGTTTTCCTGGGTCCTTTGCTGGAGATCCTTTGTGGATCAAAAGGGCTGGAGCCGAGTTCACTGGGTGGGCAAGGATGCTTCCAGGTCCGTGGCTGGGACCACATTACTGCCAACAGGTGTTCCACCTGGGCTGAGACTGCCTCCTCAGTCTTGTTTCCACTGGGGTTGCACAACCTCCTACCTGGGTCCCAAGGTCCTGAAAAAGGCACTTTTGTTTATGGATGGCTGCCAAGTTGTTGTTTCTATGAGGGGATGAATGCTGGGGATGTCCTATTCTGTGATCTTGCTGATATCAATTCATACATGTAATTTCAAATATGGCAGCATACTAATTTTAACTTGTAAAATTTTTATGGGGAGAATTACATTTTCAAAAGAATTGGCTGCTTACCTATAGTTTACACTATCTCTTTCAAAGTATCAATAGAAAGGATGAAAGGTGCCTTAAGTTTGGAAGCTGGACATTTGCCTTCCTCCTCCCACTTGTAAAACGTGTACATACTTTCCATTCTGCCTCCTCTTTCTACCTTTTGGTCTGTTTCCTATGAATGGAATAGAAGGAAGGCAAGTACTTGTCTGAATTGGAGAGCCTATGCTGCATGGCGTAAGATTAGACTCTCCTTCACTGGGCTCTGTCACTCATCATCTGTGTCATGCTAGGGGATTTTCCTTTTTTAAAAAAATGTTTTATTTATTTTTGAGAGAGAGAGAGAGAGAGTATGAGTGGGAGAGGTGCAGAGAGAGAGAGGGGAACAGAGGATCCAAAGTGGGCTCCGTGCTGACAACACAGAACTCGATGTGGGGTTGAACTTACAAACCATGAGATCATGACTTTTAAGTTGAAGTCAGACGCTCAACCAACTAAGCCACCCAGGTGCCCCTGCTAGGGGGGTTTCTAACCTGAGTTGAAGGTCATATGTTCCTTCTATTATGCTAAGTGTAATACGGTCATCATAGCAGGACTGTAATGAGGCCTAGAATAAGGGCACATAGTAGTAGGAATACCCAAGTTTTCTAGTTATAACTATAATAATTATTATTGGGGCATCTGGGTGGCTCAGTCAGTTAAGCATCCAACTTTGGCTCGGGTCATGATCTCACGGTTTGTGGGTTTGAGCTCTGTGTTGGGCTCTGTGCTGACAGCTCAGAGCCTGGAGCCTGCTTCGAATTCTGTGTTTCCCTCTCTGCTCTTCCCCCCACTTATGCTCTGCCTCTCTCTCTCAAAAATAAAAAATGAGCATTAAAAAACTTAAAAAAATATTATTATTATGTAGCTTGGATTATAAAAATCTAGATTGAATTAGGAAAAGTTGAGGATTATCATTTTTTCATATTGTGCTTTATCTTTATTCAAGAAGAGAACTGATGAGTTCCAGTGTCACACAGGCTGTCATCAGGATTTGGAGGACAGTACAATACAACATTCAATTGACTCTAAAGCCCTTCCTGAACCTTCTCTCCCTCCTGTTGTTCTTACCTGCTTCGCATATACTCATACTCTCATGTTCCTCTTTGACTAACTTCAGTTCATATCCCCTTTGAGACCTGCTGTAGTAGTTCATTCTACAAATTTATCCCATCTCTATCTAAATTAGAATTCTCTTTTCCTGAATAGTATTATATAGCACTATACCACTGAGGTAAGAAATAATTAAGATAAAGAGTAAAGAGAAACTTTTTCCTCCTTTCTGTATGGGAGAGGTGTATTTTAAATGTGGACCTTGATAATTTATATAAATCACTAATTGGTATATAAGTTTTAGAAAGAAGATTGTCTTAGACTTTTAAAAATCTCTTCTGGATTCATTGTTCCCTTTCCTCTGTTTCAGTTGATTTATGTCTCTATTAAAAAAGAAAAAAAAAACTTCCAGCCTATAATTATATTGGCAATTTTTGTCTGCTTTTCACATTATTTTCAAGGCTTTCTTCTTGGTTCAAATGGTGTGTTTCATAGAGCTTGATTTTTCTCCTATTCTCTAATTTGTTATAAAAATTCACTATGGTGATTTAAATATTCATATTGCCTTGAACAAATTCCTCTTTCCTTGAATTCCAAAGTTTTTTTTTTTTAAATACATAGTTCCTACTTCACCTGCCCAACTTTTACATTTATGAGGTATGATAATAGGTGCAGATCTTTTCTTACGACTAGAAATTTTAAAGTAAGCTGTGATCTTTTAAAATTAAAGGAGTAGGAGCTGTGAAGAGTAAAACAAATTCCAAAGCTCAGAATTTCAGACTTTACAACACCGTATTAGTAAAACCACAGTTCTTCTTTTTCACAAAATTGTGCATTACTAAGATGAATAAGATTATGTCTTCCCAAAGAATATATCTTTTTCCACAGGTAATCCAGTGATATGGATTGGATACTATGGCTTAGTGTATAACCTGGTGAAAATGTCATGGGAACTTCGGGGAGATGATGAGCAGGATGGATTTAGAAACAAAATATTACAAACATTACAGAAGACCAAGGATCATGAGAAAGACAGGCGAATCCATAATGCAGTAAATATAGCTCAGGTAAGATAAAAGCCAGGGCAATAAATTGGTACCTCCATTATCAAGAAGTGTTTGTCCTTTCTCTCTAAGGAAAAGAGAATGTCCATATTCAGTGAGTGTCACTGACTCACAGCTGGGAAAACCGTTTTTAAATTGAATACTGATCTAGGTTTAGTTAAAGATAAGAGTGTTGGTATTCTTCTGACTAAGAAGCTTGAAGAGAGGAGGTGATTTGGGGGAAGGAATAACTTCTGCCTCAGGTTTGTGACTGTGAGAATTTTAAGTATACTGACCATGCATTCCAGTTTGCCCAGGTTAGCCTGGTCTAGGCCTAATTTTCTAGCTTTCTAATAAGAAAGTAATGAATTAATTCACTCTCAAAAGTGTCTCAATTTGGATAAGTTATTTTTAGTTATCTTATTTGTAAGTTTTTCTTTCTAGCGTTAGATAATATAAATTGCAAATCTGGATTCACTAACACTAGTCTTTTTCTTTAAAGTTAAAAATGTATTTTACAAGTTCTTGGTTTTTCTAGTTCTGTTTGAATGACTACATAATTTTTTTCTTCACTTTCAAAGAAAATCATTATGAAATTAGCTATCCATTCTTCATGAAATGCAAATGTGATTTTCCAGTGATGCTTTATCCATATGGTATCCTATGATATTTTTAATCTCCTACCAGTTTTTTTCTTTTCTATGTCTTATTTTGAGCTAGGTTAATTTGTTTGTTATCCTAAAGTACACTTTTTTTTTACCCTTTCATTGAAAGTTTCTGATTCTTTCTAGTGTTTACAGATGCAATTATCCTAACACCCTTAATATCCTGTTTTCTAATAATAATTAGGGATGTGAATTAATGTTAACAAGTAAGAAGAACAAATAATGAATTCATTCTGCCTAATCAATTGTCAAAGCATATGGGTGGGCCATCATTGCAACACAGAGTATCTACCCTCTAGATTCTTAGTAGAAAACAAAACCTTAAACTCCTTGCTTTTTAAACATAAATGTGATTTCGAGTAAGAATCTTTATGGAGGACTATCTAAAAATATGCATTCCTTTTCTCTAGATGTCTAATATATTTTTCACAGAGAAAGACAGTCAAGAGCTGTCCACTTGAACTACGTTGTTTTGGATTCCGTGGGCTTGCTTTTATGCAACCACGCTTCAGTTTTATCCTTACTTGTGGACAGAACATAGAAAAATTTTTAAATAATCACTACTGGATCTATTATAGTGATGACCACTATATCATCGAGTATCCTCTTTGCTGAGATTTAAGAAATAAATCTTTCTTAGTTTCATGTGCTGTCTGAACTTTATTATTATTTTGGATAAGCTGCTCAATAGAGTTTTTAAAAAAATGAGAGTCAAATTTTGGCTAGTTTTGAAATAGAAACAGAGGACGACATGCATTCATCTCACTGAGTCTTATTATTTTGTCTTTGTTTTTTCATTTTACATGAATTTTCAGTTATTCATATTATTCTTTGGTTTTGTATCTATTTTTATATGCCACTTCACATCTCAAATGGATTGTATACTGTAACCAAATACATAAGCCAACTCAAATTTGTCATTTCTATAATTAGAATTCTATTTAAATGCCTGCTTACAGGGCCATTCATTTGGTATAGGATAGTCTTCCTTCTTCAAAATTTTACTAAGTATCTATAGATAATTGCATTTGACATTCATAAGTCAGTTAATCGGACATAGCAAATATTTTTTGTTTGCTAGGTCCAAGGAAAGACCTTTCTTTACTCAAGCAGTCAGCTCTGAGAATAAAAGAATAGACAAAAGCATAACCAGTAGATGTGCTAATTAGTTTTTAATGTTTAGTTAGAAGACTTCTAAGGGATACTTTCATTCATTTTAAATAGTAAATGTATGGAAAGGCAAGTTTTCCTCAGAGAAAAATCTAAATTAGAAATTTCTAAAGGCAGTTAAATTAACTTAGGTATAGTACATATGTAATATAAGAAATAAGTTTAATTTGCATTAGATAGATTAAAAGATACAATTCACTCTAGATCTATATTATAAGTTAGGTAGAGATAGAGACATTTAGATTATTGGATAACAAAATATATGATTTATGGTTATAAGTGATAGAGTGCCTAGTCAGTGTCTTTGAAATATCACTTAATGTAGTTTGAATTCCTTTATTTAATAATAAGATACTACAAGTATATACACTAAGAAATTAGTATAAATTTTTTTACCAAATTCATTAAAAAATATGAAATAAATATGTACATATTAGATCCCAAATCTATTTTGCCATGCTGAATTCTATGGAAGACACAGGAAGTCCAAAAAATGACCTTTATACAATAATTTTTACTGTCTTATTCAGAAGACAGAAGATTCAGAAGATGGAATGTTATATGTATGGCTATTCCCATCAAAGTTCATGGTACACAAGGGAGTTCAGATGTTCGGTTTCTAACTTTCTTCTTATGTTAATATGGAATACGTTATTGTCATCTTTAAGTAGTACTTGAGCTGGAAACTTAAATGATGAGTTATGTTAAATGACTCGAGAGCAGCGTCAAAGAGTGAATCTCTTAGATAAGGATATGTTGTGAGCCGAGCAGAAACAAGAACACCATGTAAGAAAAAGCCATTGGTTTACTTGCCTCGTTGGAGAAAAAGTCTTGGACTGGGCAGTAGTAGGCACTATATTTGAAAGTTATGTTTGGGTTACCAAGCTAAAGTCTTAGAGACTTAGAAATGGTTTCATAAAAATAGGAATGCTAAGTAAAACAATGAGTTTTGGGAGAAAATTGTTCTAACGAACAATTTTAATAGGTGGGTAATTTATGTTGGGTAAAATCATGCATACAATTTCTTATATCTTTTTAAAATAATGAATAATTGCTTAGGACTTTTGGTATATTATTAGAGTAATTGTCCTCATTTTATTCAAGATTCCCTATATTCACATCCTTGGCATGATTCCTTCTATACTCAAATTCTTGGCTTGATCACATGACTTGATTTAGAAAATAAGACAATATCAATGTTATACAAATGGGAGATTTAAAAACACTTATGTATTGGGGCCTGCCCTCTCTTGTTCTCGTGGAACCCTGTAACTGCCATGTGAGCAAATCCAAATTACCCAGATGGTAAATGAGAGACCGCATTGTGCAGAGACTAGTCATCCTAATTGATCCAGTGCCTCCTCCCGAGACTAGCCAGTTCTTAACTGACCAAACAGCTGACTACAGACACATGAATGAGTCCAGCTAAGACCAGAAGAACCATTCTGCTATCTCTACCTTCAATTGTTGACCTGTGGAACTAGGGGCTGAATAAATAGCTGTTAAACCTTAAAGTTTTGGGGTGAATTGTTTGCATAATAAGAGGTTTCCGAGAATTGCATAAATGAGACTTCAGTCTGCTAAATTGTTCAGTGTAAATATTGCTTTTTTTCTGTCATATTTATCATTTTTAAAAGGCACTGATAATAGATTTGTTGAGCATGTACTGTGTGCCATGTGCTAAGCACTTTACATTCATTAATTATTTAATCCTCATACAAAACACATGATATTTGTATTTTCATGCTCTTGATTTTACAGATGAGGAAATTGAAACTTTAAATAAGGAATTTAAACTTTTTGAGAGGTGAAGTAATTTACCCATGGATACTGTGGTAAATTACATTGCTTGCTTTTTCTAATGTTGAAGAGTCATTGCATTCCCGGAATAAAAACACTTGATGTAATAACCTTTTTAATATTGTCATATTTGCTTTGATAATATTTCGCTTAACATTTTGCATCCATGTTCAATGGGTACAACTGTTCTCTAATATTTTTTCCTTCAATGTTTTCTTATAAATTTTTGTATCAAAGTTATACTGGATTTATAAAATGAATTGGGAAGTGATTATCTTTTTTTCCTATTCTCTGGAAGGATTTTGTAATATGTCATCATTTCTTCCTTAAAAATTCTGTAGTATTTACAATGGAGCCATTTCATCATGGATACTTAGAGAAAGTTTCTAATTGCAGAATAATTTTTATAGTTATATACCTTCCTATACTTTAATTTTCCTTGCATTAGTTTTCTTTTCTTTTTTTTTTTAGGAATTTCATCTGCATTTTAAAAGATTTATCAAGGTTTTCACATTATCTTTCTATGATATCTTAAGGTCTTTAGGATGTGACATGGTATTATCTCCTTCATTCTTTACTCTTGTTATTTTTGCTTTTGTTTCTTTTTAAGCTGTCAGGCCAAGGGTCTAATCAACTTCTTTGTCTTTCAAAGCGCAGCTTTTGATTCTCTTGATACTGATATTCTGTATTATGTTTTCTCTAATTTTTAATATCTTATATTAGATTTATATTTTCTTCTGATAACTTCCTTTCATTTAATGTGTTGCTCCTTTTCCAAAATTATTAAACCATATTTGTCACTGACTTGCAGCTTTTTTCAAATATATGATTTTAATACTATTAGTTTCTCTCTACATGTTAATTTATTTTTTTTTTAATTTTTTTTCAACATTTATTTATTTTTGGGAAAGAGAGAGACAGAGCATGAACGGGGGAGGGGCAGAGAGAGAGGGAGACACAGAATCGGAAACAGGCTCCAGGCTCTGAGCCATCAGCCCAGAGCCTGATGCGGGGCTCGAACTCAGGGACCGCGAGATCGTGACCTGGCTGAAGTCGGACGCTTAACCGACTGCGCCACCCAGGCGCCCCTCTACATGTTAATTTAGATGTAACCTGAAAGTTGTGATAAATAATATTTTAATTATCATCCAATTCAAAGAGTTTCTAATTTCTACTATTATTTCTGTTTTGAGCCACAGATTATTCAAGTTCACCACTTAATATTCACATATAGGGAGATTTTGCTATTACATTTAGGATTTTGATTTTTGTTGAATTCTATTGTGCCCAGTGACGATGCTCTTATTATTATATATTGTATTATTTCATCCTACCCCTTCATTTGTCTGGTGGTTACACCTTTTACTTGTTATCCAAGATGTGACAAAG